ACTCCCAGAATTCCCCAGCCTGCAAGGTTGCATCTTGGATGGCTGGCTGGGGAATTCTGGGAGTTGAAGTCCACTCATCTTAAAGCGGCCAAGTTTTGACAACACTGATCTAGTCTAACTCTCTGCCCAGTGCAGGAATCCACTAGTAAAGCACGCTTGACAGATGACCATTGGAACTCTTTAAATACCTCTAGCAAAGGAGACTCCACCTCTTCTCAAGGCAGTTTGTTCCATTATTGAATAGATCATCCCACTGGGAAATCTTTTCTGATATCTAACCTAAATCTTATTCCTTCTAATTTTAAAGCCACAATGTATTGTCCTGTGTTCTGGAACAACCCTGAACAATTTGGCCCCATCTTTTATATGGCAGCCCTTCAGATTCTTGAAGACAGCTATCCTGTCTTCTCTTCTCTAATGTACTCAATGTACAGGCTAAATGTACTCAATGCCTCAAATTAGTTCTCATAATGTTTTCCTTCTAGTCACCCTATCATACTGATTGCCATTCTCTGGATATGCTCCACTTTGTTGCCAAAGAAAAAGCAGTGCCCAGAACTGAATGTACTCTGATCAACACAGAATAGAGAGGAATGATAGCTTCCCTTGATCTTCTCATTAGACTTCCATTGACAAATCATAGGATTTTTTTTTCCTCAGGTGCATCACAGTGTTGGTTCAAATTCAGCTTGTGAACCACTAAGATGTTGAAATTAATCTTGCTAGTTTCTGCCCATTGTTTCAGCTTCTCAGGATCCTGAATTCTAAACAGAGTGGCAAGATAAATGTTTGGGAGGAAGGGAGTAGGGTATTTGTATTCACCAAAACAGTTCCCTTCTTCACACCTTGGATGTATTTTTTATCATACTACAGAACCAATGCATACCAAACACATTCTAATTCCCTGCATTTCTGAAGACCAAGAATGGAGAATTCAGAACAAGGAGGCTGGTCCATAGGATGGCTGCAGTATGGGTATGAGAAGCCTTGATGTAATTCCAGTTGTGAAATTTCCTGCAAGGTTGCGTCTTGTATCTAAATATAATTGTACATGAAAAGTTTGCAATTACACCTCCCATGTGCAGTTAAATCGGAATCATGTTGATCTGCCATCTGGTTAATCCAAATAAGCAAAGCAGTAACAGGATATCACATAGTCACTTGGTGCAAAAATCACTCCCCCAATAGTGTCAGCTCCTCAGATTAGTTTCTACTTCCTCTTTTATTTCCTATTCTGGTGCTACAGATCCAAAGAAAGCTACAATCTAATTTACTAAGCCAATTTATGGGAAAGCTGGAGGTTCGTCCAGAAACAGTGCAGCTGCCGAGAAAAGATTACAAGAGTTTCTTCTCATTAGATATGACTTCTAGAGTACTACCACCTGGCACTTTGGCATCAGTCCTGGATCACCTGTGCTCCCATCAACCCACACCACTATCACAACTGAGCAACCAAGCCAATTTACTTCCAGCTTGACTGCAACTCAGGAGGAATTGCAAAACTTCTGTTTTGCAACTAAGAACAATAGAGTTTGATAGAGGTCTGTTTTCCCATTGGCAAAAGTGCCTGCCTCACCCTGCTTTCCTGGCTTCTCTTTCTTGCAATTGCCAAACTGCCATCATACTAGAGTGAAGCGATAGTTTTGCAGTCCTCCCCTCTCATTGACCATTTTGCTCCATTCCTTGAAAATGAGGCAAGAAGCTTCGTACATCAGAGAATGCTGTAGACATATAGGACATGGACCTTAGCAAAGCCTTTGATAGAGTCTCTGGTTATATTCTCCTTCATAAAATGGTAAAATATCAACAAGATGCTACTTCTCTTAGATGAAGTCACAGTTGGCTGAATGATCACACCCAAAGAAGACTCATTAATGGCTCCATCTCAGCCTGGAAGGAAGTGACAAGTGGAGTGCCACAGGACATCTCAGGAACTTGGATGAGGGAGTTGGCGTGACAGTTACAAAGTGTGTGGATGACACAAAGCTGGATGGTTAATACTTTAGATAAAAATGAGAAGATTCAAGAGGATCTAGACAGACTTGAGCAGTGAGTTGACATCAGTAGGATGGAATTTTACAGGGAGAAATGTAAAGTTCTGCATCTGGAAGGGAAAAATGGAAGACACCACTATAAGATATGGAGGAGACCTGATGTGAAACAGATTTGGGCTCTGGGTATCCTTGCTGATCACAAGCTAAACAAGAGCTTGCAGTGTGATACAGCTGTTATAAAGACAAATTTTATCTTCAAGGGCATTAACAGAAGCTGAAAGTTCAGATCCAATCAGGAGCACCACAGTTCAAAAAGGGCAGAGACAAATTGGAGGAAGTTCAGAGGAAGGTACCAAGAGGGTAAAAATGTCTGAAAACCAAGTCCTGTGAGGACTGATTAAAAGATTTGAGTATGTTTAGCCTAAAGAAAAGACTGAGGGAAGATAATGATAGCAATCTGAAAGTATCTGAAGGTTTGTCACACAGAAGAGGGTTTGAACCTATTATCTATTATTATATTATATTACTCTGAGAAACCAGGAGACTGTGAATTCTAGTCCCACCTTAGGCATGAAAGCTGGCTCAGCCCACGATGTCATGCTTGGGGGACAAGCTGGTCGGTAAATTCTTGCTGCAACCAATGGATCAACATTTGGTTGACCTGAAAAAAAGTGGACCCTGCACCTGCAGGAAAATGCTAGGAAGAATATATATATATATTCTTATTATTATTATTCTTATATATATTGTGTGTGTGTGTATAATATATATATATACACACACACACACACACATACATACATACACACACACACACACACTGAGAGGGAGATATATATATGTATGTGTATGTGTGTATGTATGTGTATATATATATAGTCTGAGAATAGAATAGAATAGAATAGAATAGAATAGAATAGAATAGAATAGAATAGAATAGAATAGAATAGAATAGA